TCACCTTAAATGAAATTGGGTGAATACACATCATATTACTGATTTATTTGAGCACGGAAATAATTGCAACCATGTCCCTTGCATTTACGTGGCATAATTTAACTGAGCGGAACGTATGCAGGAAGTAGACAACAAAGTCATGCTTGGTGCTCCATTTGGATAGTAGGACTAGCTTGCAGCCGACCGTCTATTCTCTTAGTTTACTATAATATACTATTTAGCTTTTTTGTAATGTATTCTTTCTCGCTCTGACGATATACTTCACGACAGGAGGGACGAAATCGCAGCACATATCCATCATAGTCGAAGGACTTCTTGGCATAATCCATCAGTCTTCAGTTCAAAGCACTTCTGTTTCAGACGGGAATAATAGGACATTTTTCTTCGAAGTGGAATCTCGAGTCAACATAAAGCCTTCGTCAGGTTTTGTTTACAACATTTTCTCTCAAATCATGCTGTAGAACAGAGATTAGTTAATGGAAGTGGCATCGAGAGATGATGAAAAACCGCAAATACTGGCTTAGATGACATGAGTTCTATTGAACTAGGCACAATGTAATTGAAGTAGGCCCTCTTTAGTTTGTGTTACATCAAAATTGTGTCCTTTGACATGATATAGCCTCGGTGGTAACCGGCTACCGAGGGCGCCATGTCGGGCGTCACCTACCTCTCGTAGTTCCATGAAGTTGGGATGTTTTCGCGCCAACTGCTCACGATTCCGGTACAGACGAGTGGTGATCTCGTTGACCCTAGCTGTAGGCAGTCGAGAATGACTGGGCGTGATTCCATGCTCGGCGAGCTGTTCAGCCAACAGTTGATGTACCTCATGACGCAGGCCACGCAACGTTTCAGGATCGGCGCGCAACTGTTCAAGGAGGCGACTGTAGCGCAGGAGGTTGGCCGCGTTCAGGGTCGCCTCGACATCAGCGACTTTGGTGGGAGGAAAAATGAAGGGAATCAATGTTATAGCGATTGAGAAAGCTGCAAGAGCTAGAGTAATCAAATGAAAGTTGTCAAATCCAAGATGGAATGACCGTTTGTATAATCGCGGTCTCGCTTCGTTGCATATAAATTGTTTGAATTTTTTTCGTTTGTAAGTAGAGATTTGAGACTACCAGTAAATCAGTAATATGTGATGTATTCACCTTATTTCGTTTAAGGTGATGAAGGAATGGTAGTAGAATTTTCCCACAATGATATGAGAAGAGCTGACGTTTCCATTG